TGCGCGCCTGCCGGCCGGGAGGGCGGGGCACGACGTCGGCCGTGCGGGGTCCCGGCGTCGGAGGCGCGCGCTCCCTCCTCTCGGAGAGAGGGCTGTGGTAAAAGCCGTCCGGAAAATGGCCGCCGCCGCCGCTGCCGCGCCAAGCGGAGGAGGAGGAGGAGGCGAGGAGGAGAGACTGTGAGTGGGACCGCCGCAGCCGCGGGCGGGGACCCTTGCCGAGGGGCGGGTGGTAGGGGCGGGACGTGACGCGGGAGGGGCCCGCGGGGTCGGCGACACGGCTGGCGGATGGCGTCCCTCCTCTCTACCCTCCCCCTCCTGCCACCGCTGGTGACGGCTGCCCCCGGCCCGTCACCCACACTGGCGGGTGTCGCCTCCCAGGGCTGCCTTCGCCTGGTGCCTCGCTTCCTCCCGCCTTCGGCGCGCATCCTGGCCTCCAGCCCCACGGGCGCCTCTTTTGCTGGGGCTTCACTTGTCCGGGCTGCGCGCGCGTCGTGCCCTTCTAGGGGCTTCGGGCCCGCCGCGCCGTCGCGCGCCCGCGGCCCCGGCCTCTCCCTGGATCGCGCTCTGCGCTCTCCCCTCTCTCTTCCTCGCGCGCCCCCTCTCCCGTTACTCGCTCCCCCACACTGGCGCGCGTGCGCAGTCCGCCTCCTGTCGGGAGAGTGCGCCACAAGGGCTCCTGCGCTCTCACCCCCATCTCAGGCTTTGCCTCCCCCCCCTTCTCGCCCATTCCATGAATTTCTGCCCCCATTGCGAGCGAGTCGTCCATCTCCTTTCCTATCTAGCAGGAACAAGTAGGTGGGAATTATTGCCCACCCACAAAAGGGACTAGATATTTTGTTCCTGGTCCCACAACTCATCCTAAAGAGGCTGTTCTAGTTCCCATCAGGAGCCGTGGGTAGGGGATTGTGTGTCCAGTAGCACCTGAGGCTCTTCAGTGGAAGCATGCCCCCGGGGTCCTTAGAGGTGCTGTGGCCTCAGAATATTAGCGCCCTCCCATCCTCCCCCCTTCGCCGGCGATCTTCCAGTTACATAAGTGGAGTGGGACATAGTATGTAACGGGCTTCCATAGTCTTGGAGCGTGAAGATCACCAGTACCAGATGGGGCAAGTTCATCGCATCGCTGTGGTTCCTGTCACTTGTCCCTGAAAGTTTATTTTCTTTTTAGTTTGGTTATGACTGAATCACCCAAACTGAAACTCAGGTGACTTTTACGTGGCGTGGCAATGTGTCTGTGGTTTTGCACTGAAGACTTAAGGTCATTGTGAAGAGTCTAAAAAGAGTGCTCTCAGAGAGGAGACTGTTTATGACATTGCTAAGTATGGACCCGAGAGGGGAAAGCTTGCTCTGGAATATCTCTGGCAATCACTTGTGTTGTGTGTTCGGTGTGGATTGGTCACAGCAGAAATGGGCTCCACCACAGAATTGATATTCCTGACTCATGGTCAGGCAGATGTGTGCTTCTGGTTATTTTTCCAGGAACAGGAATGGGCTTTGCAGAGCCATTCACATGTTGTGTCTGCTGTGCTCACACTTTGTGTCGCCTGTGTGGGATCAATACCCCAAATTGTGAGATGATAGGATCAAATTAAGGGGGTGGTTGGTGATCGTAGAACCAAACCAATGTGTGTGATGCTAAGTGGCTTAGACTTTGTAGGACTCACAAGTTGTAGACATTTTGTTATATTAGGAAAATGAAGCATATTCGGACCTTGGTAGTAAAATTCACTGTTAATAGTCAGTTATTACTCTAGAGGAGAAATTTGGGTATTGTGGTTGGAATTTTCATCTGGATATCAGTAATTGCAGTTGATAACAAGATTGAGCTGACCTCTTGGGTCTTTTGAAATATGCTGGATCCTTATGAAAAAATACAGGGTCTGGAGTTTTAGGTCTTTTGGGAATTGCCCTTGGGGATTCAAGGAAATAGGCTTATTTATGGGCTTTTTAAGGACTTCTACTTCAAATCCCACTCAGGAAGCCTAGGAAACACTTCCTTTTATTTTCTTACTTGCACATGTCAGAGCCTTAAAAGAACACAATCAATCTAGTAGAAGTACAGTTGATTAAGTAAGTTGCCACAGAGCATCTATGTGTGGCATGTCAGCTAGGTGACTGATCACTGAGGTACATCCTGTCCACGCACACAGACACACAAACCTCACTTGACAAAGATTCCAAGGTATGTATATCTGAACCTGAGATGTGACAGGACAAGGGTTCTGCTTTGTTTTGCCATCGCTGACCATGCGTTTGCCTCCTCCGATGCTCTCCAGCTAGCTAGCTGTTTGTTGTACCCCCAGCTCTTTAAACAGCACAGGCAGCTTCTAGAATTTAGTTTCTCTGCAAAGTTCCTGGTGGCATCTGAAGTCAGCATGTCTTAACAGCTTGAAGAAACTGCTTTCTTGCTCATATTGGCTTATCACACTGTCCTATTTCTTGTTGTTACAAATTTGCCTGGAATGCTTTAAACCTAGAGTACTTTGTTTCACCTGACAGCAGGATGCAGTCCAACACTACTCCGACTTTTGTGTTGTTTGTGTATTGGTGGGGTTAGAATACAATTTTTGCATTCTATTTGCAATTTCCAGCCAGAGTCATTGTTTCCCTGCCTGCCCTGCCTACGAGTGGCTGAATCTAGTGGGGTGGGAGGCAAGCTGTGGAGTTTGACAAAAACTGGCTAGATGATTGCAGTATGATGTTGCCCCCCCCCTCCAAAATACTCCTTCCCCCACATGAAAATGGAATGAGAAGCTCACTTCTTTAACTTAGAATAAAGAAGAGCAGAATAAAATTGTTAGTTCCTGTCTCAAGGCTGGTTTCCACTGCTAATGTACCTGCCTGGGACTATTTACATAAGTGATGTGTCCTGGAACCTGTAATCGTTGTAAAGGTTGACTATCAGTGGAACTCTTTTAATTGGCTATGAGCAGTTTGTTGGCAGTCTACCTGAGTATTTGTGAGGAGGGGAGAATCACAGAAAATGCTTTACATTTGTAGTAACTAGTGTTTTAACCCCATGGGGTAAAGAACAATCTTAGATTGGCAGCGAGTTCCAGGGAGTTTGGTAGGACACCTCCTTGTATTTACTGCCCTCTGTTTTGGTGACATGAGACCAGCCTCTTGTGGCTGATGGACATAACCTTTTTTCTTGGGTAGAGCATTATTTCCACTCCAGCGGAAGGACCTTGTTGTCCTCAATGCTTCTGTACCAGCCCTGTTCAGGCAAACTGCCATTGTCATCACTGCTTCTACCTTGTTTTGGTTAGGACAGACATAAAAGGGTTCCTCTTATTTGGGCTCACTTACACAAAGGTTGTGTTCCTCTGCCTTTTCTTGCTCTATTTTGCCTTTCTCTTGCAAGGAACCTTTACCTATTGAAAACTTGATTTGCATGCCATTGCCTAAAAACTTGCTTCTACTACTTTGATGGTAGGAGTGGAAATGGGAATTTGGGAGTGGGCAGGGCATCCCCACTCAAAGGGTGCAGTGACCATTCTGTTAGAGAATAAAGCCTTGGCCTTTATAGCTTTTTCAAGGCACACTTGTGTTGGGTCTGCTGGTATATGGATGTGTTCTCACTATAGCTGTTTTGCTGTTACTGCAGAAGTCTGGACTCCCAGGAGCAAGCCTGAGGAAGCGGTCACTTGTCTTCCTTTCCTAAGAGCTGGGGGTGTTATATATATATGGACCTGCAAATCACTGCTTTATTGGATTTTCACCTAACTGCTCTCATTTGCCGGCTCTTTTATTTCCCCCATGAAATCTTGGGTTAATTAAAGATCTTAAACTTTCAGAGCTGGAAGGAACTTTAGTCCAGCTCCCTCAGTTTATAAGTAAAAAAACAATTGTGGCTGCGAGAAGTTGTGGCTTTTCCAGGGCCGCCCAGCCAGGATACCAGTTTGATTTTTATTAAATAGCTAACTGAGTAATAGTGTTACCTCGACTTTGGGGATTTCAAAGCATTCTATGACTTGACTGTTTAAGGGAATTAATTGTAAGGTCTCACTGCACCTCAGTAGATAATTTTAGGTACCATCCTGGTCGTTACAGACTAGCCGTAAGTAAAAGACTTGGTTGGTGTTGCCCTTCCTCTGGGTTTGATTACACAAGTAATCGTATGAATAGTCTCTAAGTTGTGCACGCTAGGCTTTTTTTAGTCTAAAGATGAAAGTGCTACTTTTGGGCCAGCAAGGTATCAGAGATTAGCGAATATGAGCCAGTTTAGGTTTTTACAAGGAAATGATGGTTATCTTAATGATGAAAAATGTGATGACAAAAGTCCTTTTTTAAACGTGTTCAAAAGCAAAAGAGAAACTGTCAAACTAATAATTCAGTTTGTTGAACATGGCAATTTACTGATCTGAAAGGCTTTTAAAAAGCGATTGCTCTGGCCCAGCTGGTGTGGCTCAGTGGATTGAGCGCCATCCCATGACTGAGAGGTCCTGGTTTGATTCCCGGTCAGGGCACATGTCCGGGTTTCGGCTCGGGTTTCGGCTCGATCCCCAGTAGGGGGCATGCAGGAGGCAGCCAATTGATATTTCTCTCTCACATCAGTATTTCTATCTCTCTCTCCCTTCCTCTCTCTCTAAAAAATATCAATAAAAACTTTTTTTTTTTTAAGTGATTGCTCTGAGTCAGACTTGTGTATTTTGGAGGATGGCTTTGGATCTCCCAGGGCATTTGGTTTCCATTGGTACTGCTTTTTTCTCTTAGAGTTAAAGTCCCTTTACATAATGTTACAGCAGCTTGTTGCAGCTTCAGCTGCTTGGAAAAAAAGGGAGACTTTGCTGCTGGATTTCACGTGTTCTTTTTGTGATGAGATATTAATGTTGCATGTTCTCTTGAACATGTATTCTATCTCTGAGTATTTCTGTATGACATGGTACAAGAAATACCAGAGATTACTACTAATGATATGCTTTATAGTGTCAAAGTGTCCTTCATAGGTGACAAGACCTGTGATAGTGTCAATTCTAACATGCATGAATCTTTCCTTTATTTTAGCATTGTGTGTTATGTGCCAGTAATTTGCAGTGTATCCTTTGTTTCTAGCTAGGTAAGCCGGGAACTAGCATAGTACGTTGTCTATATGTGTATCTTCAAAATGTCCCAAATAGCCCTGGGAAAAAGGTCGTGCAGCACAATGGGGGCTTTCAACTTACGATTTTCTTTGTTTTAGGCTCCATAAAAATACAGACTCACCAGTTCCTGCTTTGATGTGACATGTGACTCCCCAGAATACATCTTGCTTCTGTAGACCAGCTCCAACAGGATTCCATGGTAGCTGGAATGTTAGGGCTCAGGTAAGTAACCTTCCTTTTTTTTTTTTTAGTATATGTCCTGGTTTGGCCATCTGTTTTTAAAAAAAAAAAAAAAGGAAAAAGACAAGATATACTACTCTTGGACAGTATAAAAGTACCCCAAAGACGAAAGACATAACTGTGCCAAACTGTGCCATATAATAAAAAAAAGTCACTTCCCTGAGCCCTGAAAGGTCAGTTTGGGTAGGGTTACTTGGTAGCCACAGTGTGATCTGGGGGCGGGAGTCAGATTAGAGCCGGAACTGGTGATCTGCAACTTCAGTTCACCTTGAAGCAGGTCAGCTGAGCTGAGAGCGTTTTGACTGAGCTCTTCACCTGCCGCTGCTGTTATTTCCCAGTGGTCTTCAGCATGGTGCTTTGTTTGCTTTGGTTTTGGGTAAATGACTTCCTGGTCAACATTAGTGAGCAGTGGTAATGTATTTTCAGATATGGGAACTGGTGTGTGATCCCGTGGAAGGATAGCCTCCTGAAAGCTGCCACAAAACAGTGGAGCCCATGGCTAATGGCATATACTTGCTGCATTTCTTCCATGGGAACTAAAGAGAACACCCAGACACACTTCTGGCTCTTGAGACTCTAGAGCAGAATGAATGCCTTTTGAAAAGCTGGGGATTCAAGCTGTTGGAGGGCTGACACTCAAGTGCTCTGTCAGCTGCACTTTTGGCTACTTTAGTGCCATTGTGTGGACTTTAATTTTATGAAAATGAGTGGTTCCTTAATTTGTCGATTGTCAGGCTCAATATCTCAAGCTTTTTTAAAATCATTGGTCACTCCACATTTGATATTTTGACACCTGGATTTCAAACATTCCTTGTTGGTAAGGCAAAACATTGTGATTGAATTTTTTCATTTCTTTTCTTAAGGAAAAAAGAAATGTGAGTTTACACATATGCTGCCACTGTGATTCCAGCTGAGACTTCCAAGTAGCACTTTGTTGTATCTCTAGTGGTGTCTGACATCTCAGTCGAAAGCTATGTGGACATCTATAATAGAGAGCCCATTTAGAAACTATGTGAGGGGCAGTGTTTGGTCAGAGGAGAATAGAAAGTGTGGAGGGGAAGAGAAGGGAGGAGCATCACACTGCCTCCAAGTCCCAAATTTGGTTTCACTCCTTAATCTGTGACTCAAATAGTCATTCCCCTTTACTGTGGGGTATGCCCTGGGCCCTGCTGACAGGACATTCTTTGTACTTCATGTATTTATGCTGGTGGGAGTAGTGTGGCTGGCGCTTTGTGCATTGTCTCAGAAATTGTGTGGACTAAATGTAACATGGGCAATAAATGGGTTTCTTCTGGTAGATGGTAGGCCTGGGGGTGGTTTATGTTTGTTTTTTTTTAAATCCTCACGAGGATATTTTTCTATCTCAGATAGAGTGGGAGGGAGGGAGGGAGAAGGAGAGAGACACATCGATGCAAGAGAGACACATTGTCTGGTTGCCTCCTGCACAACCCCGACCAGGGCCAGGTATGTGCCCTTGACTAGAATCGAACCTGCAACTCTCTGGTCCGGGAGCTGATGCTGTAACTGCTGAGCTAAACCAGCCAGGTCTGGTTTATGTTTTTAATAGTCTTTTTCTAAAATTACAAATGGATGTTATAAAACAGACAGTGATGACTCTATACAATTTCTTCTAAGAAATATGGAAAAGGAGATGTTTTAAAAATCTAATTATTTATGAATAGGAAAGACACAGCTATTTGAGCTTTAAGGAACTTTGAAGGGAATACTCAAAGGACAGAACCCATCTTTAGTAGATAAGTGCTTGTATCTTATTAGTTTTCTTTTTTTAAGAAACTATAAAAATAATACATACTTTTATGGAAAATTCAAGCTATTTTAAAGTATGTCAAGTAAAAAAGTGAAAGCTTTCTATTATTCTCTGTGCCCACTACCCATAGTAACCATGTTAATAGCTTAAGGTAGATCCTTCTGAATCTTCTTCTCAAGCTATACAAATGTGCACCTTTTGTGTTTTTAACAAAACGAGGTTAGAATTATACATATTCAGTATCTAGCCATTTGATGCATTTCTCTCTTGCTCATTTTTGTTAAATGGCAGCATGGTCTGGTAATAACTTACTGTCATACGTTGTCCGCCTATTGGTTTTCCCAATGGTTCCTTGTTAAAGATACTGTTGGATTGAACTTCCTCGTGTGTCAGTCTTTTTGAAGAATGGCTGCCTAGACTTGAAGTTGCTGATAGTACTACCACAATGCCTTCCTAAATGGCTATCCCAGTTCCCGTGACAGTCTCAGAAAGTGCCACTTCCTCATACCCTCCCAGAATTGCTAGCTATCATTTAAATTTGTGCTCCTTGGGTTATTAACTGAGGCTGAACCTCAGTAACCATTGGCCATTTGTATTTGGTCTTTCTGAATTGCTAGTTTGTGTTCTGCATTCATCCTTCCATTTGGATATTTTAAAGTCAATTTGTAGGAACTCTTAATGTATTAGGCATATTAATTCTCTGTCATCATACAGATATTTTTCCTACTTCGTCATATATCTTTTGATTCTGCTTCTCTTTTTGATATATAAGATGTCTGTTATGTTTTTGCCTTTTGCTTTTATACTTAAAAAATCCTTTCCTACTCTAAGAACACATCAATATTCATCTATAGTTTTTTTCTTCATAAAAAAACTTGAGGCCCTGGCTGGTTTGGCTTAGAGCATCAGCCCATGGACCAATGAGTTGCGGGTCTGATTCCGGTCAAGGGCACATATTTTAGTTGCTCTTTGTCCCCGGCCCTAGTCAGGGTCATGTGGGAGGCAGCCAGTTGATGTGTCCCTCTCACGTTGATGTTTCTTTCTCTCTCTCCCTCCCTCCCTCTCATTCTATCTGATGATAAACAGAAAAATATCCTCAGGTGAGGATTAAAAAAAAAAAAATTTTTGAGCCCTGGCCGGTGTGGCTCAGTTGATTGTCATCCTGTGCACTGAAAAGTCACTCGTTTGATTCCAAGTCAGGGTGCATGTGGGAGGCAACTAATCGATGTTTCTCTCTCTCTCTTTCTTTCCCTTCCTCTTGCTCAAGTCAATAAAAACATTTTTTAAAAAACTTGATATAGCCCTGGCCGGTTTGGCTCAGCAATTAGAGCGTCGACCTGTGGACCAATGAGTCACGGGTTCGATTCTAGTTGAGGGCATGTACCTGTTTGCAGTTCGTCCCCAGCCCTAGTCAGGTCATGCGGGAGGCAGCCAGTCGATGTATCTCTCTTACATTGATGTTTCTCTCTCTCTCCTTCTCTCTCCCTCCCTCCCACTCTATCTGATGAGAAATAGAAAAATATCCTTGGGTGTGAGGATTAAAAAATAAATAAATAAATAACTTGATATACTGTATTCACACATACATATTTGATACATATAAAAGGATCTGATAGTTAAGTTGTCTTATGGGTTTTTTTTTGTATGGTTTTTGAAAATACTTTTATTTGTATTTAACTTTAGGATAGGATGAGGTCTAGAGCCCATTTATTCAGTTGTGTCATAGCTATTTGGTGAACCAATGATATGGTCTTCACCTTTACCATACGCTGACTTCAAGTGAACAAAGCACCTCTTACCTTTTTTTCTTTGTGAGGCTTGGTGGCAAGCCTGTCAGCAAATAATCATTTATTTATTCACCCAACAACTATTTGAGCCCCTGCTTTGAGCAAGGGGCAGTACTGGACACTGCAAGTATTGCCTTCTTCTTGATATGGACAGGGCTGCAGAAGTTACGATGCCATGGTGCATGGCTGCTGTGATCATTCTGGAAGATTCAAGAAAATAATGGATCTTCACAAAAGTAGGTTTTTAGATAATCTAGGAGGACTTCAGAGGCTGTGTCTGTGGGGGGGGGGTGTTTAATTCTGACATGTAAGTTTTAGTGTTAGGGTAGACTGTAACATAAAGCATAGTTTGTTTTGTAACTCATGTAATTGCAGGCTGAATTTTGTCTTGAATTATGATGAGGGCTTTTGGCTGTTGAAACAATTCTATATTCAGCCAGCTTGATTGTTATGATAGAATAGAAGTTACATACTGATAAAAATGGTAATTTTCTTCTATGATGATTTTAAAGCTTTTCTATAAAGGCTGATAAATACAAAGACAGGCTTTTGGTGAATATAATCTTAGGGGAACAAGTATAATTTTTACAAGTTGCATTATTTAAATCTAATAAATACCACGAAACTGAAGTGGAATCCTGATTTGGGTTGAAAATATTTTTTACTTAAAAAAAGGATATTAATGATTAAGGAAAAGGCTTCTTATATAAGGCTGGGTTTTTTGAATAATTTTTTTTGAATAGTTGGGTATATAGTACAGAATGAAAAATATGGTACTAAAGGTTATATGGTAAGCCCGGCTGGTATGGCTCAGTGATTGAGTGTTGACTCATGTACCAAGAGGTCCCCAGTTCAATTCCTAGTCAGGGCACATGCCCAGGTTGTGGGCCTAATCCCCAGTGGGAGGCATGCAGGAAGTGGTCAGTCAGTGTTCTCTCTCACTGATGTTTCTCTCTCTTTCCCTCTCTCTTCCTCTCTTTCTAAAATCAATAAAGAAAATAAATAAAAAAGGTTTTATGGTAAAAGATCTCCTTGCTACCCTGTCCCCAGATATCCATTTCTCTCCCTGGAGGCAGCCATCATTACCAGTTTCTTACTAATCTCTGTGTGTGTGTGTGTGTGTGTGTGTGTGTGTGTGTGTGTGTAATTTTTAAATTGTGGTATAATACCTAATATCAAATTTACCATTTTATCCATTTTAAGTGTACAATTTTGTGACATTAAGTACATTCTCATTGTGGTGCAGCCATCACCAGTATGTATCTCCAGAAGCCTTTTCATCTTGCAAAAGTGAAATTGTCCCTATTAAACCATTGCTCCCCATTCCTCCCTCCTCCCCCAGCCCCTGGCAATAACCCTTATACTTTCTGTCTCTATAAAATTGACTACCTCATATTAATATATTTCTTTTTTATGTACATATGTTA